GGCACACCAACCTAGAACTTGGCAACCCAGCGCCAACCTAACACATATCGAGTGGACTTGAGTTTAGGGTTAATGTTGGCGGTAGGTGTTCAGGAGTACCCTGGTGCCGCTAGAAGGGTACACTCATTGACGGTCCATGGGCTGCCCAATAAGGTAGCCCATGAGCTGCCCACGAAGGCCCACCATGGGCACCACTGTGCCTGTGGGCCGCCTGTTGGCTCGTGGGCTATTGTGGGAAGCCCATGGGTTTCCCAAGGGTGCCCCATGGGCGGTGTAACACAACCGCCGAAAGTGTGAGAGAACCGGTCCAACTGACACAATCTCCCACACTATTGGCAATTTTGCAAAACCGCCCATGGGGCACCCATGGGCACTTTATGGGCCGCTCATGCGCACTTTATTGGCAGCCCATGAACTTGCCCACGAAGTGCCTACCGTGGGCACTTCAACCTAGAACTTCGCCACCGGCACATCAGCATAGAACTTGGCCACCCAGGGCCAACCTAGCAAGTATCGTGTGGGCTTGAGGTTACGGTTAGCGGTAGGGTTAGGAACCGTAAGTAGACTACAATATAGTGCCTCTTCCAAAACAGATGATCTTTTGTCTTGTGAGTACAATAGTTCAGGTTGAAGGGCACTCATTGACGGTCCATGGGTTGTAGCCCGTGAACTGCCCAAGAAATGCCCACCATGGGCCGCCCATGGACTTGCCGGCGGCCCATGGGCACCGCTGTGCTCGTGGTTTACGGCGGTTAGCACCAAAGTACCGCGGCCCGTGGGCTGTCTACGGGCAGCCCATGGGCTGCCCAGATATGGGTTCCCCAATCGGCGGGTTAGCAAACTGGCAAACTGTGGAAAGTGTGGGAGACTCAACACCAATCAATGCCTTCCGTGGTCGCAGGCGGGCGAACTGTCCCACCAGCCGATCTCCCGCACGGTGTGGCCACCAGCCATCACGAATTTTGGGGGTTGACTTATTTGAGCAGAGAAAACCGTCCTCGACACGCATTAGGTAGGTATTCGACTACACTCCCTGGGCCCAATTTTCAAGCCGTCTCGGGTGTTGTTGGAACCGTTTTGTTTGCCCGACACAAGAAAACATGTCACATAATTGTGGCAAGTACCCTGAATGGACGGGATCTCCGTACTACTGTACGTCACCCAGTTCTCTTTCATGTCTTCTTGGTACCTACTCTAGTCTAGGCAAGAAAGCTTTTGGGGTACCCGGCATTCGAATATTTTTGGCCCCCACCATTCCGTGGGTGCCGGAGTTGAACTTGCACAAAGGCAGCTACTTCTTCGTGGACACTCACGTGAAGAGAGGGAGGATTGTTGTCGAGAGATGTTGGGGGAGATCGCATATTATCCTATCCGAACATCAAATTGACGGAAGGTCATTCTTCATCACTTGAATTTAGCGCTAACAGCGTGTCTGCCGGGTAGCTTTTTGATGCCATTGTCAGACACCAGGGTTCCTCTCCCTGAACCCCCCCCCTACCCACCCTCTTTCGACGCTTGCCTTCGATTTGTGATGCGAGAAGAGTGTGCTGTGCAATACAAGCATTCTCTTCGCTTTCGAAGTGCACACACGACTATTACTGTAACAACTGCAGACAATACCACTATGTAGAGCACACTCATGCATACAGAGTAAACACACAGGAGGTGCCCTAGACTATATTTTTAGTCTTGAGTGCTGGCTGGCATACCGATTCCTTTCCTACATGTACACTACAGGCTTGAACACACACCCAAAAGAAGTCTACAACAGAAGTTTGTACGTAGTGTCGTGTCCATATCCAGCAGGGTTTTCGAAACAATCACTTCCGGACTTAAACATATATGCACATACTCTATGTGCATGTTGTTCGGGGGCTGCAACTGTATGTCTCCAACGGGTCTCGCCGTGTGATTTAGCACCCAGCGCGAGATACTCTGTGTTGTAGTGCTGCGGACTTCCTGGCCTTCAAATTACATGTCGACTTGCTGTAATGTAGCGATATTTTCAGAATGTGGAGCATTCCAACACTGTAACTTCTCTGGTAAGTGGGCTGGTGGGGTGCTCTGGCATCCTACCTTCCAGCCCCGTTCAAACATGTATCGCTCTGATCGCTGCCGTACAGACAGAGCGGCGTCAGCGGTTCTGCAAGATTCCGTAGATGTATGTACCCGAAGTCTACAACATGCTTCCATAGACTTGGATACAGCCGTGTCAGTCTAGTAGCCTAGTAAAATAAACTACAGTTTGTAGATTATACCGACTGTGGTGCCCAATATCACCATGATTTAATGAACCACTACGATAGGCTTCACATTTAATCCCACCAGCACTGACTAATCCACATGTACTGGGTGGCGGTGCTGCACTATGGTGTAGCCTGTGTCGTGGCGGCCGGAGGGAGCTTGTGCGGAGCGAGGGAGCGGCAAGAAAAACAGAGACAACAACTGAGGAGAATTGGGAGAACGTGCGAGGTTATGATATGGGCTACACACAACTGTAGCATCTACACTCGATAGACTGAAGCGCCAACCTGGAGGAAGAAGAAAGAGTCTTGATCCTGTTCTTTTCCTTTGCCGGCTGCGTCGGTTGTTGGTTGTACTACTGCTGCAGCGGCGGCGGAGAGGGTTCTGAGAGGGAACGTATGAAAACATCAATCAGCCCCGTGGTGGGTGAAATCGATCACATCATCGGTGATAATACCCCGAGAGCAGAAAGAGATGAAACTTGGTATTCATAATCCACCAGAGACGATCTGGGGACCATTAATCCACCTGCTGGCCACCAGTCGGCGGCATGAGTAGTTACAGGTCTTCTTTTTTATATTTTCCTAATAACTCTGTCAGAAGAGTTTGTTCCGAACTGACGGAACAACAATAAGAACGTTGTGCTTGGAAGCTTGGAACTCTCCGTGGCTCCGCCGGCTCCGCAGTGACCCGAAAATGTTCATCTCTGCGGTGGTACAACTTGTTTGTACGTACCGCATGTGGGGCCTTTTATTAAGGTCAAGCTTTCATGCACCCCCCCCATCGATTCACTTGCGAGTAGAGAGGGAAATTGCGCTGCTGTATATTCCGCTGTTTCTTTTGTGAGATCCGACGATCATACAGGCAGAGGGTGGCCTCTCTCTACAAAGAAAGATACATACCATACACACACACACACGGATGGCTTTCACCGTACCAGTCCATACACAGCTTGCAGGCGAGAGTGCGACATAAAGCAATTCCCGTAGAAGACCTGTGCGTTTTGCGTTCTGGGGGGCGCCGGTAAATTCAGGAAGAGGGTTGTGGTCGTCAGCTCCCATGTAGTAAATGAAAACCGGGAGGACGTATGTGTTATTTGCGGTGTGCGGTGTTACGGTTACAGAGTTGCACACCTTGGAATTTGGAATAATCCGGTGGCCAGAGTTCTGTGCATCGGCAGGGTCACTATAATTGTGTAGAGCTTGGCAGCATACTCACGCTCACTTACTTCCTGTCAAGCATTCCTGTGCTCTTTGAATGTACAACCAACCGTACCCGCGACCGGAGACTACTCTCAACAACACGCTTCTAAGCCCACTCTGTCGTCATGTCGGAATGTACAACAAGCTGGGCCAGCCAAGAGGCTCACTTTCGTTTTTTCGCGTCTCCCGCTGCCAATGCCACGTGTTTAGGCTTGAAATTTTGTGGCTACACTTAGAAGACAATAGAGGATGCGCCGGTCCCAGAATTTTTCGAATCTGAGTTGATTTCGGTATTGAATGCTCCATTGGCGGTGTAGTAGAATTGTCGATTCTGTGTACCCCCTGAAGTTGGACCCCCCACTTCATCTCAGACCCTCGCTGATCGTCTCTCAGCGATAACAAGCAACTTTCCTGTCTCAACGTGGTCGTGGACAAGCGTGTCAACAACATAACCTTCATCTATCTTTAGGAGCAAGCTACCGCCCACGGCTTCACCTCCTTTAAACATCCACTCGGTGCTCAAAACCCTCTCCCCGCCTCATTCACGATGGACCAAATAGTGAAAAGTTCGTACATTATGATGGGTGATTTCCTGCGAAAAATATAAATTGAAGAGAATATCGCTGACCGGTGTAAAGCGTTCCGCGCTCATTCTCTACTAAAATACGACGCGCTGCTTGTCACTGTCACACGCCGGCCTACAGCAAATCGGAAGAAATGCATGAGAGCAAACGCGTAGTAGACAACCAGCGAGGGCGATTCCAAAAGATGCCGCACCCTTGAAAAAAGAGAGCGACGAATCTGAAATTCTGTTCGACTTTTCGGGGGTGAATATGGGTTTGTGTGCGAACAGCATCAATGACCCCACGTCGTCAGCGTTGTCCACGATCGTTCCCTAACCCTCTTCTTCATGACTGTGCTCCAGGAATGCACGTAGAACGCGAAGGTCGGTTCTTGTTGCCTTCATTTGGCTTGGGGTCGGTGTGTCCACCACTGAAGGTGTCACGAAGACGAGCACCTGGTCTGTTGGTGGACAGCAAAACGCAGAACCAAACACAGAGATAGGGACAGACGACAGGGAGGAGGGACGAGCGATTTTTCCTGAGAAACGTTCGAAGAAGCATCACGTGGTAAAGCACCTGTGAGCACTGTGCAATAGAATCGCTCGCGCCGAAAGGTGTACGAAATGGATAGCGGGACAAACAAGAAAAACCCTGCAACTTAATCCAAGCCTTTCATTCCAAATGGCGTCCAGCAGTTGCTCCGCGAGTGTTTCTCCCGCTTGATAGGGTTCGTGTACAAAATGGTGACCAAACCACACGATGACCCCCTCTGTCAACGCTTGAGGACAAGAACAGAAGCAGCAGACCAATGAGATTCCCTGCGTCAAAAGGTAGCAAATTCCCCAGGGCCTCGCGCAAAGCAATCGTGGACACAACGCTCACCTCGATGAGACTGATTCATTCGTTTGAGAGGAGAGCGACGGACTCAAGCATCCGTGCTGACCTCAGTAGCTGTCACACCGAGTGTGTTGAAAGTGGAATCGGCGTAGGACTAGTGCGTGTGGGTCAGCTCACCGTTGACGTGGACCTGAGGGCGAAAGGTTTTCGTGCGCTTAAGATCAAAGTCTGCTTCGAGTGATGCCTGTGGCTAACGATGAAGGACGCCGCGTCAGTATGAACAAGGTAGCCCGCGTGGAGATAGATTCACAGCCCACGGCGTGTGTACTTTCGCCACTCAATCGCTAGGAGTGGCCAACACTTGCATGATTTCCGATGAACGTTGCGACAGGCAGGCCTCACGATGGCTGACTGTGGCAAACGTGCTGTCGGAGGCTTGCTTGGTTATAAGTCGGAGTCAGAACGTGGTGCTGTGCAGTTTGCTTGGTCTCGTACTCACCCCCAGGGTACTGACGCGCTCGTTGTCGTTCCAGAAAGCAACCTGGATGTCCACGATGTTCTGGGGTTCGGCAAAGGTGAACATGATAGGGCAGGGCCCTTCGTCAGGCACGAGGTGCGTGGCGCACGACCACGTTGACTCGATGTCTGAGACGATGCCATCACGGGTGTTGGTCGCCGTACAGCCGAGGCCACCGACCTCCCCGCACCCGACCTCGCCGCTGCTGCTGCCGGACCGCCCATCGTGGGCGGTGGGTGATACGCTAACCTCGGTCTCGGCGCCCAACTCGACAGCATCGGTAACCGTCGGCAACGACTCTGTCTCTTCCCAGTTGACAAACTGGTACGACATTGACTGGTCGTCATCACCGAAGATGAAGTCATCGCTCCCGCCGGTAGTTCCTTCACCGAAACAGGAGGCACTAGGGTCTTGGCAGTCGATTGAGCGGTACCCGCCTCTGCAGGAGAAGATGTCGTCACCCGGCGCGCTCTGGCATGTGCAAGAGCAGCAGTTGCCACCGTCGTAGCCTAGGAGACAGCCACAGAGCGAGAGGTAGACAGAAAGTGCCAACATGTTACAGTTGATTGGGCTTCAAGTCAGGGACAGCGAGGAAAGGGTTATCGCCGACAAGGAAGTGGGGCAAACGAACCGAAAGTCACCGCACTCGCAACACGTACCATGAGGCGTCGATGGTGAACAAGATTTCAGCTCAGTAGCGCAGGAGAAACAGCGTTGCTGGACAGAAGGAAAGGAAGAGATACCAAACACAAAACGGGACAAGCCCCACGGTTGTGTTTTGTGTCGTGTAGCCCGCACCGCCGGGCCCGATGTGGTGTTGATATTGTTCCTGAAAACCGATCTATTTGAAAGCAATCGATGGCAAGGGCAAGAGGGGAGGAGTATGCCTGACGCTTTTGTCTACACAACCAAGCAAAACAAGAGCGTGCATTGCACAATTGCACAAAAAGGAAAATAAGTTTGGACAACATTGTAGCCACCGTGTGCTGCTTGACGACGAAGAAGTTGTAAGCGAGCGACAAAGAGAGCGCTTGTCCAACCCCAGCCCGAAAAACGTAAAAACATCGGTAGATCGCCGGCAGCGTCTAGGGCACGAAATCAAAGTAGGCGGAAATGAAGGGGAGATATCCCTAGAAACTGGCTGGCGTTCCTTGTTAGTGGGCCCGAGTGGTCAGACCCTTACTGACGAACTCCTCGCGTACAACGGGTTTGAAACATGTCTGCAACGATACCAGGTGATCTCGTATTGTGCTCACGTCGTCAGAGTCAGGAATGAAACACCATGTACCGCTACAACGCAACAAAGCCTGACAGGTTCACGTCGCTAGGTTCCAGTATCGCTTTGGGCTCAGCAAATATGGCTGGAAAAAATGTGAAAACAGTACGCCGCGACGTGTCAAAGGTGCACTTAATCAAAGTAAAGCGCGGCTCTGAAGCCTTCCCCCGTCACAGAGGATTTTCAAGCCAAGGATGTAGGACACACCAGATACGCACCAGACAGACCAATGTCTACTCTGCTCGACCTACACTACTGACCGCCCCAATAGTAAACTCTAGCGGCGGCAACACAAGCCCTCATTCCCGACAGATGCATTTTTCATCACCCAGTTGTACGGGAACGGTATGCTGTACCTTTCCATGAGGCATGACCTCAAGGGGTACCGTCACTCACTGCACTCCTCCTTGTTGTTTTCTTTATCGCACAGGCCGTTTCCTATCCCAAAGACGTTTCCACAGTTTTCGAACATGTCGACCGTAACGTCGTCATCGTCACACAGGCCGCGTCGGGGTAAATGCAAGAAAATTGCATGCAGAGGTAGTCGTCGTCATGTTCATTCTGACAGGGGGGTGAGGACAAGAGGAAGCAGAAAAACGAACACCAAGAATGAGGTACGGCTCAGCACCCCAGTCTTGGGGACAGGAAGTACAGGAGATGTCGGCCAACACGACGAACATATGAGATAAAATTAGACCATCTGATCAGTCAACGTTGACTGATCAGATGGTCTAATTTTATCTAATAGAACAGATGGTTTCGGAGCGGCGTGTAGGCTCAGATTCGACCGAACACGATCGAACCCTTCGTGCCTGCCTACATGTATATCTCCCAGCTTTCAACGATAGCAGATACTTGGCTCAATAATACGAGAGAAGCAGCTGTAGAGAAACAGAAGAGATTGACCTACCCAAGAGGGACTCATTCGATACCCAAACATGCCAGGCGCAACATATTTGAATCCGAATGGGTTCCTCTCGTGTAGCATGTGCATTCGCAACAAACAAGATGCGAACTGCTGTCATCGCCGTGAACGGCGATGACAGCAAGCATGTCTAAATTGTCAAAGATCTACGGGGTAGATTCACGGGGTGGTGGAAGAGAGAAAAAACGAGAACAAGAAATACCCAGTCCTGCACAGGCCCACGGTGTGGGGACGCGTGTGCTTCGCGTACTCTACCTGGCACGTGCACTCGCAGCAGTCGCCTCCGTTGTAGTCTGCGATATCATGCCGGGTAGGACGACGACGACGACGACGACGACGACGACGACGATGACGACGACAAGACACAAACAGTAAACGGGAGCCACAACAAGTTGTCGGTCGGTCGTACCACGCCTGGTGGATATTGTTCGAGCTCTCGGATGAGTTCAACGAAGGCAGGTGTACAGCAGTTGGTCCTTGAAAGCAACCGTGAGAGCGGGGTTCCGACATATTTTCGAAGCTCGATTTTGCCACTGCACATAGAGTGGTGGGGCGAAATGGTGGAGTGGGAAGCCCAAGATGACGGCATTCTTACCGTCTCGCCGAGCGCCTGTCGTAATACCGAACCGTTTGATTTGTACGTTCTGTTCGTGGTGGTGTAATCGAGCTGAAAAGGTAGGTCGAGGGTGACATCTCGTGTCACCTACGGTACGCGTGCATCTGTGGTCCTGGTGCTGGTGAAGACGGCCGAAGACACTGCTACATACATACACAAACAAATGTTTCGCGGGACCCCTAGAAGCCACGGCTTGCAAGCACTTGCTGTGACCCCTCCTCCCTGGAATCTGAGTGCGCAGAAGATGGGTGCCAAAACGGGGGAACAGCCGACAAAGAAGGTATTGCGAGCCAGGTTTGTGGATATTCTCTGTCGAGAGCAATGTGTGCGCTGTTCTGCACCATGTGCGTGTGTGTTGTCGGTGCGTGTTAAGCTGAAACGGCCATCCTCAGGCCTCTATTACAAAAAACAAGGCATTGGGCAACGCGTGGGGGGGCAAGAACCTACCGCACGCCTCGTTATTGTTTCCTTCCTGACACCAGCCGTCTCCTGTGCCTAACGGGTACTCGCAGTTGACGAACATGTCGACGGTGATGTCATCATCGTCAATGCAGGCTACCTCTGGGTCGATGCAGGCGAATGTCGTGCAACCCCTGTCATCATCGTACGGTCTCTGGCAGGAGGGTGAGCGGCAAAAGGTGGGATACCGTTGCTCAGACGGTCGCCAGGGGCAGCGACGGATGATGGGGAGGGGAAGACGAACCAACCCAGAAAAATATTCACCGTTCCCCAACAAGGCTGTTTCGGGCAAAAGCGCGATACTCCCTTCACTTCCAACACAATGAGGGCCACTATTTACACGGGCTCCACGGGAAGGTGAGATATCGCTACCACGCTTCGAGGGCAGGGGAAGGGAGATTCACTAAAATGTGGTTTCGTCGAGGCCATTGGGGCTGTAGAATGGCCGGTCGGGGACATTCAAACTATTTCAGGTGTAATCCAACGTTCGTCCAACGTGACAAAGTGATCATCTTAGACAGTCACCTTCTGTGTACGGCAGTGGCCACCATATGTCAGGCAACACGGCAAAATAACATGCAGCAACACTACTCTCGTGTGGTGCATGGTCACGTGAAGTCATTACCCACGAGGAAGCTAACTCGTGTGATGTGTACTTGGCGTTGTCACATTTCGACTGGAAAGTTCGTAGGTTCAAGAACCTTGCGAAAAAATTCAGAGAGCCCGCCATGAACTTCCTTGTGTTTTCTTTGCAAATCTTCCGGTCATCCTTCAATTCGGCAGACTGCCAGATATTGATGTGGCGATTGAAATATGGCTAGGTATTGCGTATTTTTGAGCGTTCCTTCCCAGCGTTTCAGGGTTCGATGAGGAGAATATGAATGAAAGCTGGCACAAGCGCCTCGCAATAATAGTTGACTTCAAATATTTTGTCCGTCGCTGCATCGGTGACAGAACAGTCTTCAAAATTGCCGCGGGAGTATTCGGGCAGTAAAAGAAAACCACTTCATCAACTACACACAGCAAAGCTCCTACAGTAGCATCCAAGAACAACGGAGGACTAGCTAGCGCTCATGTGAACCGTCCCACCTGACACGTGCACGAACAGCAGTCACCGCCGTCGTAGGCTGGGACGAATTGGAGAAAAAGAAGGTGGGACGGGCAAGAGAGAGGCATAGAGGTTTATTCGTATTGGAATACTTCATACCCTTACGCCACGTGTGTATTCGTGAGACAAAGCAGGGAGCGATAAAGTTATCAAGAAGGGTGGCGCCCAGGAATACAAGCATGTGGAGCCGAGGCAGTACATTCTACATAGCGTTTCTGACGCAAGACTTTATAACCCACTACCCACGGCGACACGAGTGCGTCAAAGGGCGGCAACGGCGACGGAGCCTGCCGAAGCGACGTAAAGCAAAAATCAGGTGTACCACTCACATTTATATAGCTCCTGTATGACCTTCCTCCCGCGTAACCCCCGCTGATAAGTCAAAATCATACAAATAATGCTCCAAGAGTTGTGTGGACTGGCGCCGAAAAGAGCAATTGGGACGACCAAAAGCCACACCGTGGTCTTGCCGCAATAACTCCCAGGATGAGCAATCAAAGGAGCTTGCGGCCTTCATGAACTTCGGAGCTCTGTCGAGCGCTTGTATCCATCGGTAGGAGTTATCCGAAAAGGTCGTCGTTTTGTCTACATAGCATCCCGGCCCACGCAACCTTGAAGGCACCCACCCTTAATTCTATGTCCAATAACTTCCTTCATGTTCGCTACGGTGCGGGAAAACGAAGTTCTCGGGCCAAGACTTACCGCATTCTGGCGTGTCGACATCTTCATTGCAGTAGCCGTCGCCGATATCGGCTGCATCTTCGCAGTTTTCGAGCATGTCGACGGTGACGCTGTCATGGTCCACAGAAGGATCGTTCGGGTCGACACAGGCGAAGTCGATTCGGTAGGCTCAGTCGTCGTCTTGATGGCCCGGTAGGTGCGCGAGCACAACAGGGAAAGGAAGGATGTGTGGGGTAGTCAGCTTCGAAAGAGAGGGACAGGAGGGAGAGAACCACCCTGGCAAACACCACGCTATCGTTCGAAAACCCTTGGATGCGGACGTACCGTGAGAATGAAGGGACAATGGAAAGAGGCATGCCTTTTTCGGACGTGGGTAAAACGTTCCAGAAAAAATCCAGTTTGGACAGAAAGGGCAGGGGACAAAACGATTACCCATCAAAGGGAATTGCCGATTTCTAGCACCCGGTCAATGTTCCAAGTGTTTCACAGCTGACGCTTATACCCGTGTCCTCATCGTACTTGTGGAATGAAGGGCTTCTACAAAGTTGAAAGAGGGAAGTAGGACAGCGCAAGAAGATCTGTTTGTGTGTGTACACGGCAGGATACAATTCTCCGAGATCTCCGAGGGGGTTACGCAGATGATATAGATATGGGTATGATAGACAGACTTGGTGCAGCAGGTTTTGCCTCTTCTTGCTCACGATATCGTGGAGTCAGCTGACGTCGGTAGGGAAAGGTTCGGGAGGTAGGCACCGGAATACAAGGACAGCAGCAGGGCGGTGTTTGCTCGCGCTCGTCAAGGAGATCCAGGGAACAGGGTTTGGAATACAAGGGCAGCAGCAGCAGGGCGGTTTTTGCCCGCGCGTGCCAAGGAGATCCAGGGAAAGCATTTGGAACACAAGGACAGCAGCAGCCGGGCGGTTATATTGCCAGCGCGCGTCAAGGAGATCCAGCTACAAAACAATAATACAGCAGTTGTAGGCGTAGGAGACACATTGTGCCGCGTTTTATTTATTTTTTTGCGGCGTAATTTGGCGGAGGAAGAGAAGAGATGGCGAGGGAGAAGGACATGACGGAGAGGGAATATGGGCATCTATCGGAGAAGAATGATGCGCCGGCAAGAGTAATGGCTGCCGGGAGAACGTCTACCTGGGCAGCTGGTGGAGCTGGTCTCGGTACACAACGGGTGAGCATGATGAATGACGGAAATTGTGCGTTGAGCGGCTACAGCAGCAGTCGCATACCGCCCAAAATCCCGAAAGATTCAGCGAAGGCCGTGAACTGGTTGCGGAGATTGCGGATTTTCCTGGCTAGCGAGGGTTTGGAGCAGACGCTTGAAGACACCAATCCCACTGGCTATGTTCCTGTCATCAGCTGTTTGGATTGCATATATCTGAACCGGGTTCATGGTGCGGCGCTCGTTACGGCACACAAGCGGGCGTGGGGATATCATCTGTTGGAAGCAACCTGCGGCACGGACATTGAAGAACGGTTGGCTGCTTGCGACTGCGTCCCTGAGGCGTGGAGGGTGATCCGCGAATGGGTTTTGCCTACTTTCGACGCCGAGAAGACATTGCTTGTTCGACGGTTGGAGGCAGTTGAGATGTCCCCTGGCGAGAACCCGAAGCTTTTCTTTGCCAGAGTTGATGGCATCATCAACATCATGCGAGCTGTCGGCATTGAAAAATCCGAGCGGGAAATCGTCCACATCATTGTTCGCCAGCTTTCGCCCGAGTACGATGTCGAACGCAAGTCTATCCTGGCGGACCCCACCATTCCCCGAGCGAAAGTGGAAAAAGTTGTTCGCACGGCATACGCTAACAACGTCGAGATCAAGGAATTGGGCATATCGAAGGCGGTCGGTGGTTTGGGGTGCGGTCATGGCGGCGTCGGTCAGAAGGGGGAACAACGGCGGCAGCAGCAGCAGCAGCAACAACAGTGGGTTAACCCACAACCACCACCTGTACACCACCCACCTCCTAATTTCCCGACGTGGGGATCTGGGGGGCTCTATGACTGTGGGCGCAACGCCGTGTACCCGCAAGAGGAGTCAGCTCCGCCGCCAGGCGCTCCGATGGGTGCCGTTCATCAGTGCGTGAGGTGCGGGAGGCATGGACACTCACTCGGCGACTGCAATGCGCCACGACGCTTTGAAGGCCACTGCACTGCCTGCGGTGAGTATGGTCATCGGCGCCGCATGTGTTGCACAACCGGCCGCATGCAACAGCACGTGCATGCCGGTGATGGAGAGGGTCTCAATGCGAGTGGCAACGACACTATGCCGTACCAGCAGCGGAAGCGACGACGCTGGAGGAGGCACAGGCACAGGCGTCAGCCGGAGTCGCTCCTCCCCTTTGCAGATGGAGCGGTGGCATGGGGCACAGCAACTGCTGTGGGAGCGGCGACCGGTGGTGGTGGTTTCCCCGCTACGGTGGCGGGGGGAACGGCCGCGGCGCAGGCACTCGCGGCTGGAGCGGCGGCATCGGAGGCAGCAACGGCGGCGAGAGCGGGGACCCCCGGCAACAGAGTCTTCCCCGCGGCGGCGGCAGGGGGAACGGCCGGGGAGCAGGCACTTGCTGTTGAAGCGACGGTATCCGTGGTGCCACCGGCGGCGGCACCGGCGACGGATGAACTCGAAAGCATGAAAGAAGAGCTTGCTGACATACGGAGGCAATGGGGGGAATTGGCGGCCAAGAAACCGGCACTGCATGTGCAGCCGGGCCCACCACTTGTGTCGTCAGCAGGCGTGGCTTCAGCAGCGGAAACAACGGTGGGGACGACGACAGGTATTGGTGTTTTCCCCGGCTCGTCGATGGGGGGAACGGCCGGGACGCCGTCAGCTGCAGGAACGGTGGCACTGGAGGTTTCGTCGACCTGCGGCCAGATACCCCCCGCCGTATCAACTGGGGGGGCGATCGCAGTGCCCACATCAGCAGCTACACCGGCACCAGCAGCGCAAGAAGCGGAGGACGCGTGCGATGAGGATGGCTGTTGGTTGGACAATGGCGACGAAGGCGGCAACAGCAACGGCGGCAGCGGCGACGGCAGGTTCGTGGCGTTGTCTGCGGGTGCGGGTGCGGGCGCGGGGCATCCCGGCGCCAATCCGACCGTGTACAATGGTATCTGCGTGGTGCGGGACGATGGGGGGTAATGCCATGGCTGGACATTCGATCGTGGCTGGAAGGGTGCGGCATGAATTGAGAGGCTACGTGTTCGGGAGCTACCGTGCGAGATGACCGGTGGTTGCACGATGAGTCTACGCGCGATTCAGGCACGTTTGTGAGAATTATGTTCATTTGGCTTTCTATTTTCTGGGTCGATTTTGTTTGTTGAAAGCCATGAGTTTGAGAACTGCGTCGACGTAGGCTGCTGTGTTGCGATGCGCACGAACGAACGTGGTGTTTATGGTCTGTGGTACATGTGTTTTTCATTTGTCAAGGATATGGTGTGCATCGTCTTGGACTTCACCGCGCCGAATGGTGCAGTTGATGTTGTTGGGTCACTGCTAGCACTGCTGTCGAAAATCATGGGGGGGGATGAATGTGATGCTGAGATGCCATGATCTTCGCCGCAGTACAAGCAGAGTTCTAGCGGACGTTCGGGTTTCATTGTTCATTTTGTTCACGTTTTCCGCGTTTTACCTGCGGAAAATGAGGAGAAGCCCTCAATTCTTGTTTGTTTGCGATTCCGCGTTTACCTGCGGAGTTTGAGGCAACTTCATGATACTTGTCTGATTCCTCGTTGCTAGGATAAGAAATACATTTATTTCTTGTTTATTCGCGATTCCGCGTTTTTCCCGCGGAGTTCGGAGGTAACTTCATGATATTCGTTTGATTTCTCGTTGTTTGGATCCGAGAGTTGTTGCAGCAGGGGGGCTGTTAGCGGTTGTGTTTTGGGAGATGATGCAGCAGGGGGGCTGTTAAACTTTTATGTTTTGGGCGATGATGCAGCAGGGGGGCTGTCAAGAAGTCCATGTCTGGATGTTTGAGAAACGGCATAATAATTGGCGAAAGTTTCCTCTGGCGTCTTTGAACGCCGGGTTTTTAACGTTTGTCTATTTGTGCCGCATGTATTAGGTATTGATGACTGTTCTGATCGATGTATTGGAGGAAGGATTTGACATATTTTGGTAAGACATGGTTGAGGCCTATGTGCTTCCGAAGCTTAGTTCAAATTGGTCAATGAGTTGAAACACAGTTTTGTGCGAGGGTTTTGTTCGAGGTATTTGTTGACGCGTTTTGCCAGAGTTGTCCGTCCAGAGTCTTTATGACGTGGCTCTGATGTAATGTTGATCTTTGCTGAGTAATCTTCCAAGGATAAATCTTTGTGTTTGACTACTTGAGAATGTGGTGACGACATTTTCTCGAGAGGGGTGCTTGTTAAGACTCTTAGTGAAGTTCCATAGTCGTAGGAGGAGTAGTAACCTGAAACTTGAATATTCGATAGATCCGGGAGTTGAGATGATTTACTTGTGGATACGAAAGATGAATGGTTTTTAGATTTGTTGCCGTTTTACCTGGCGTTATGTACGGAGGATCTCGTAGATCGTATCTCGTACCGAGTAGGGGGGCTGTTTGTGTGTGTACACGGCAGGATACAATTCTCCGAGATCTCCGAGGGGGTTACGCAGATGATATAGATATGGGTATGATAGACAGGCTTGGTGCAGCAGGTTTTGCCTCTTCTTGCTCACGTCTGTCACTCGTTAAACTCTCTAATAATCAAGGAACTTGAGTCACTCCTTTGTGCAACACGCTCTCGATAAGAGCCCGCGAGCGTGATAACATAGTACACGCGCCGACACCCCAAACAAGATCTTTGGGGCAGACGTATCTACTCCTAAATGGAGAAAACCAAAAAACTATCGCTCGGGTCCACGCACTTCAAGCGGGTTTGCATGGACAGGTGAAACAACAGTAGCGAACCCGTGTACCTCGCAAGTGCATTCGCAGCAGTCGCCGCCATCGTGCGCTGAAGCGCATAAGGACAGCGAAACATCGAGGGGGAAAGGGAACAGGGAGGGGTGGAGTTGTCGAGGGAGATCGTTGTTGGTTGTTTGAGCCGGGTCCCCGAGGAAATACATGTAGTTAAAAGGCGGCGAATCTCGCATGCCAGTGCAACACGAGAATGGGGGCGAGGAGCAAATGGGTTCGGCACCATCCAGTACAAACGAAGAGTAGACGTTCCTTCGTTACTTGCGGCGCGCTTGTTGCCAACAACTACAGATAAGAGAGTCAAGCGGAGAAAAAAAGACGAAAGAGGTTGTCCTTCACCAGTAGAACTACGTAGCGTCGTCCTACATGTAGGACTACAAGCGCAGGAAACAGACATGGGGTCGCCACCGTGTGATTCCTCTGTTGTGGACAAGTGGCTGCGCCCGATGCGTCGGAATTCGCTTTTGTGACAACTTCTCCTTCTCCGGCAGGGTGGTCAAAGTTTTCCAAACGCTAAAGAACGCCGTCTTGCGATACTAGAGCCACAAGACATACCGCATTAGCTCGTTGTTTATTGTTTCCTTTCGAATTGCGTTTTATCAATATCTTTCTAAAGCCCGAGGGAAGAGAGAGATACCAAACTGGCAGAGAGCGCGTTTCCCGCAGACACGTTTCTGCGGCCTCTCTATCTTGCCTCTGCCTCTCTCCTAATAAATACTGTCTCTCTCTTCCCTCCAAACAGCAACTGAGGGTGCTGTCTCCTGCAGTGGAGGGAATCAATCTTACTGCACACAGAAGTCTCAGATGACCAAGTCCCCAAAATGGTACCCTACCATTTGCTTCGCCTCACATACAGCTACAAGTTCTACCGGATATCCTGTCCTTTCCCCCACCTTCGAAAGAAAAGGGGTGGGCGGGTTGGAAAAGACCCCACTTCCTGTCAGCTCCAGAGGCTGGCACACCACTAGAAGCCTTCTATGTGACCACCTCGCTAGTTTTCTCTGCGGTACTCTCTCTCTGGCACGCTAAGACTCTGTGGACACGAGGTTTGAACAGAATGGTAACACATGCAACCCCTCCTCTCGACCGAGGGTGGCCCGCAGTACGCAATACGTTCCGGGTACAACTATATAGACAGTATGGCAATTCGAGCTGTTTCAATAAACCTCGGTTTGTTTCGTCTACGTTTGTTTCGTCTACGCCTTTGTCTACGCTTTAGACAAACCTGTCCTTTATCGTTTTCTTTCGAATTGCGTTTATTAATATCTTTCTAAAGCCCGAGGGAAGAGAGAGATACCAAACTGGCGGAGAGCACGTTTCCCGCAGACACGTTTCTGCGGCCTCTCTATCGTGCCTCTGCCTCTCCCAATAAATACTGTCTCTCTCTTCCCTCCAAACAGCAACTGAGGGTGCTGTCTCCTGCGGTGGAGGGAACCAATCTTACTGCACACAGTAGTCTCAGATGACCAAGTCCCCAAAATGGTACCCTACCAATTTCTTCGCCAACATCGAGATCATCATGACGGTAGTCGTGCAGTGGGATTAGCTCCTGTTATTGCCTACCTACGGCACACCGTGCTTTCCCTCGGTTGCCTCCCGACTCGCCAATGTAGTACCCAACGGGACACCTCGGCGGCTCCTACAAATTCCTCTAACTTCATCTTCCCGCCCTCCGGGATACCCGTTCCAAACTTTTGTTGCCCCCAACCGCCATACACAGCTAATTCCCAAATCCTTAGCTAAATGGTGCAGCGCGCATTAGTTTCTGGGATTCACCCCTATTTCTTAAATATTTACCTCGAAGCTCCGCGGGCTTGGTCATACTTCAGAACTTGCACTGCACAACCTTTAACTAAGACACGATGTCAACGGCGCGTCATCGGGCAACGTTGCACAACATGACAACGACGCCACCACCAGAGCAACTGCTCGGCCGTCTGCTCTGCATCCCGATCATGGGTCATTAACCTCATCCCGATTCTTGGATCGCCTGCTGCGATGTACGAGGAGAACCCCGACCACGCCGGCGTGACGACGGCAGGAAATAATCGGCAGCCGGCGGTGATACGGATGGCTTCCTGCACGCCGCCGCCGCATCGACCAGCTGCCCCGCTCCGCGATCGAGGACCTCGTCCATCAGGTCTGAGTTCGCTTGTACCTTAAATCTCGCTGCAGCCCTTGTTGCAATGTCGTCGGGCCGCCCTCATTCAGCTGTGTGTTTCAACTCACTCAGCTCTCGGCGACCCCTTCGACAGCGGTCCTTTTGATTCCACCGCCACCCCTGGGCCGCGGTCTGCGGTCCGCGGAGAAGACCGTGCATGGCACGGGCACCTTGCTGCTCCCCGAGCGGGCGTAAGCCCTGGCTCCCATGAAGACGGTCGTGGCGTGGTCGCGGCGTGGGGCACCCGGCGGACATATCCGCCGTCACGGCTTCCGAAAGGGAACACCTGGCGTTGCCGGCCGCCATCCCCGCGCACCGGTCCGCCCGCGTCCTGCCGCCCTGCCCAGGGGTGACCTCGATTCAATCGCCATCTACGAGTGTCCAAGCGCTCCCTTCCACAACAAACAACAGAAACAAAACGAAACCGAGTTGATGCGTTTCGTCCACGCGAATAGCGGAAAAATTGGCACTGAAATATTTCGTGCGTACAAGTATTTCGTGTGTACATCGTACGAATGCCGACTCTGTGGTAAATGTGGGTAGTGCTGTTGAAATAAGCCCGCCCAAACCAGGCCGACAAAACACGATTGATGTGTTCCGCCCCGGCACATACCGATTACACATCATCTGCACGATATACATGACCAACCGCGTCATCGCACAAACTCGGCGGCCGCAGGAACGGCACTGCTGTAAGAAACAGGCGGCCCTACCACAGAACCAACAACAAATGATGGTTGTTTTGTCCTGGCGGATACTGACAAATCCACACCATGTTCATGATTATACTGGATAGTGAGAATCGCTCCAATGCGACAACCGCGGGAAGCACTGTTGTTGCTAGGAACACGCCCACACCCACGGCCGCCATTCACGACTCATGTGTTTGGTTGTCGGCATAATATATCCGCGTGAATCGCCCACTGCGACAACTGTTCAAAAACCAAGCCTACAAACCATGGTCGCAAAGCACAAATTCGTGCGATTCGCCGTGGTAATGTTGAAATCATATTTTGATTGCCATGACTGCCGGATTTGTGCGAATGCGCTGACCGCATTAGACAGCGTTTTGCAACCGGCGCTCCATCACCACTCGCAGAGAACCACGATGATATGACTGGAACACGTTAGATTGGGTGGTCTAAGCAGATACTACTGGCGACCAAGTTCTGATCGACATGTCTGCGGGAATCACACGAATGCGACGGCCTCGGTAGGCAACATCGTTGCAACAACTACCACACCACCGCCAGCCACGATTGGTGTGTCTCGTCCCGGCAGACACTGACCGAGCACAAGGCCAGACTGCGTGAATCGTCATAGCGCGACCATCGCAGTTGGCAGCCCCCCGAAAACCTAACGCTCCCACCCTATCTGCAAAACATTGTAGACGTGTTTAGTTCCGTCACCTACTTAAAATGTATTCCTCGTGATGCATTTCATGGCTGCGTGAACCGTGCAAAGCGACATCTGTGATACGCCGCAAACTTCATGGCCGCCAAGCACAAGTGATACTTGTGGTCCCCGCAAAAAAATGGGCTGCGTAGACCGCACGATGCGACACTCTGGTATGTACTGCTGCGGAAATACAAGCCTACCAACCACGGCCGCCAATCACGATCCCGGCAGAAATATATCTGGGTGAGTCGCCCACTGCGGACACCCTGCTAGTTAGCACTGGTCAATACGAAGCCCACCCACCTGGACCGTCAAACACGATTGATGCGTCCGGTGCCGACATAGACAAATCTGCGTCAATCTGCGACTATTCTCGTACGTAGCACTGTTCCGGATCAAGCTCACCGACCACGGCCACCAGACACGAGTCATGTGTTTGGTCCCGGCATAAACTGATCTGCGTGAATCGCCCAATACGACGAGCCTGGTAGAAAACCATGTTCAGAAACAAGAAGCTACCAACCACGGTCGCCAAACACGATTTTATGTGCTTGGTTCCGGCATGAACAATCTTCGTGAATCGCCCGATGCGACAACTCTCATGTTCCAAAGTGAAGCTTACCAGCTACGGCCGCCAAGCACGATTGATGTGTTTGGTCCCAGCATAAACTGATCTGAAGAATCGCCTCATGCAACAACCCTTGCAGGTTGCTACAATGGACCACGAGTGACAACATCAAATATCGACATCCCTTGTCGGGGACCATAGATGTTGAGAGGTTTGTCCCGATATCCATTGTCCAAAACAGTAGATTTTGAAAGTTCCTTTCGACCTCCCTTGTCAAAGACAACTAATTATTCAAAAGGTTCTGTCGATATCTGTTGTCAACCGTAACAGATTTGCGATGGTTCCTATTGATATGAATTGTGCATAGCAACAGACGTTCAACAGTTTTCTCCGAAGCCATTGCCAATGGGTTCATGACATGTCATCGATATACATCGTTTACTGCAACAGATTCTTGAGCGGGCTACCGATAGATATCGAAACGCAACATCGATAGTCGTTATCCAGGGCAATCTGTCCTCAAGGTCGTAAAGGATATCCACTTGCACGACAACATGTTCGAGGGCTTCTTCTAATACAACGAAATGAAGTACCCCGCTCTGTAGAAAACCTCGAAAGGGACATACGCGGTCGTCTGAGCCGCTTTCCGCTGCTCGTCATAGCTAAGTCTGCGAGTCGACCGAAAATTTGTCAGATAGAAATCGTCGACTCATGTAAGCACGGGGATGTCTCGTGCTCTCGGGTACCGAGCTACTGCTTCGGAAAGGGAAGCGTATATGAACGGGGCTGCACACCACCCGAACGCTAGCACTGTAAAACGTATACCTCGCCTTCCCACTCGAAACCAAAATATTGCCAGGAACCTTTGTTCAGGCAACGTGGTGGTATCCAGCCTATAAGTGACTTGATGAGCTCCTGCCCAAGCGCACTGGGCCAC